CTGACCTCAGCCCCTCCCCGGACCTTCTCCTGGGAGGCAGCAGAGCTCACCATGATGGTAGGGACTTGTACACACACACACACACACACATATATATATATATATATATATATATTTATATATATAATTCCCCATAATTTTTAATATGAGCTCTGTACCTACCTCCAACAGCAGACTTAAATTTAGACCTTAGACTCTGAGTAAGTTGGAGGAACTTGCCTAATAAGTACTGTCTTCTTAAAATAGAACCATTCCAAATCTGTGAATTTTGGTAATGTTGAGTGCTAACTATTACCAGAACTAAAGTCATTCATCTAATCGTTTGCCACTGTGATACAACTAAAGAGGTGAGGCATCCAAAATAAATTAATGCATCCTGAATAAATTTAATTATTTATTGCCAGATTCAATCTACTGATTTCCTGGTGGAGATGTAAGGCTACTGAAATCATTGAACAGAGTAGATAGTTGGACAAGAAAGTCGGACAGTTTCTGGAAAATCCCAGTGACCAATCAGATGGTAATCTACTTGTCTTGTATATATTTTGAAAACTCCCATTCACCTCACAAAACTCTCTATCCCCCCAGCCCACTTCAGATTTCCATTAGCACTGGTGGATGTTTTCCAGGCACATAAGGGGGGACAATAGCCCCATAAGTACAGAATTCCAGTAACACGACACAATGCTGAACAAGAATTCTGACAAAATAAATAACACTGGGCAGCTGTTAGGCACTCTGGCCTTAAACAGCCATTACACTCAGGTTTCATTTCTTTTATGGAGTAAATTGAAATGGTCATAATTGGGAACTTAAATTACTGTTCATGAACTTTTTAATACAATTAAGTTACACCTCAAAGACCTTAATAAAAGGATTTTTTTTTGAAAAGCACAAAAAAGCCTCAATGCAAGCAAGGATGAGGAATCTAATTTGTAACTTTTACAAACTTAAAACTCCAGCAATCTGTAAAGCTAACTAATTGTGTGCCTGGGCATTAAGCTCTTTTCTTTACCAGTAAGATGTACCAAAGAACAGAGCTGAGAGAAGAATGGAAAGCATTTTCTATTAATATTATAACGTCTTAAATTGATGCCGTGCTTGGTGCCTTTTTCTTTCTGCTTTCTGCAACCTTTGCATGTATTCACTGTATGCAAGTGCTCATTCTGTGCAAGTCTTCACTCATTTGTCCTAAACCAGGGATGCTCAACCTCTATCCCACAGGCCAGATCCAGCCCCCAATGCCATGTCTTCCAGCCCACAGGGCTCCCCACAGATCCTTTGGGAAACCCTGCAGGCCATGGCTCTGTGTGCTATATCAGGCACACTGGGTGGTACATGGCCTGATACTGGTGCACGAGTGCTGAGCAGGGTTACTGCAGGGCTCCCATAGCCTGAACCCAGTCATAATGGCAGCGTGCAGCTGTAGAGTCCAGTCCAACCCAGACTCCACACAACAGGATCAATTCCTGAGGATCCACACCATCCCCACTGCCTGGGATCAGGCTCCAGTGGGTGTAGGTGGTGTTGGGCGCTACAACCTAATCTCAGCCCGGAGGAGTGATATGGACCTGATCTGGCCCATGGACCAGCCCCACACCATTCACCTCTGCCATGGGGCCAGAACTGTGAGCACCAGTGTCCTAAACCAATATTACCTGTTGAGTCAAAATTAAGCAGGATGGCTTATAGTTCCAGTATCTGGATTCAATCTGGAGCATAACAAGATTGAAAAAAAATCAGTCTTCTTGTAGATATACTGCAAATTGACAAGACATGGATCAGATTAATTATGCATTGTTTTATTATGAACTCAGTTCTATTTTATGAGCATGTTTTGCTTCCATTGGCATTTCCAAATTAACTCAGTTAAAGGGGTTATCTACTACATGAGCCTGTGATTCCCAAATGAAGAGTTTTGAATGCAATCAGTGGCAATGCATAGGGTGTGCATGGGGGTACACATGCACCCCCCTGAGAGTGCTGGTGCGCCCCCTGTCAGGCCATGCTCCCTGTTTAGGCAATGGGCAGGGGGGCAGCTGGGAGCTTCGGTGCCCCTACTGCGAGCACCGGCTGGGGAGTGGGACTGCCAGCAAAGCGGCCATGCAGCTTTTTGGTGAGTGAGACTGGCTGCAGGGAGGATCTCCAACCCACCACGGTCAGCATGACTGACTGCAGGGGACCCTCCCGGTGGCCAACTCAAGAAGCACCAGTCGCCCATGAATGAAATAAAAACTGTTTTAATCACTACTCTATAGTTCCCATTTAAAACAAATTATATAAAAGGCCCTTATCTTTCTTACAAGGAGTATGTTTGGACATTACATTTGACAGATTTATTAAAATCAACTTGATTACTGGAGGCTGTTCCATGGCAATAGCATTGTAACAAACTGATACAGTTTCTTTATCTTTCAATATTTCATCTTGATCTGTGCAAGGGATTTTTTTTATGTGAAGTTTTTGATAATTTAGTCCTTACTCATTTAGAAATAGATATATCTATTGTAGAAAGAATTACGGTTTCTTTAAAAAAACAAAAGAAAAACCTGTGGTTAATTATAGGTAATTTCATTTGCAAAAGTGTGAAAGAAATGCTGAAATTATCGTAAACCATCCAATGGGCATTACCTTACAAGAATGTCCTTTTAAGGACTTACAGGTAAAACACCTTTCTTTATGCTATGGATAAAGGTACAGATAATACTGAGGCCCTGACTTATACCAAACACTGTCAGCACAGACCAAATGCAGTTAGGATTGTCTGCTGAGAATTGCACCACACATATTTTATGACATCGCTGAAGAGATTTCCGATGACAAGGCATGTCAGTCATTTCCTACTAGCTGAAACCCGCAAATGCGATTAATTCTTTTATTTCAAAGGTATTTCTTTAAATACACAAGTTTTAGTTATCCTTTGACCGAATACTTTAACAGACTCAAAACTTCTCACCCTCAAAGGCTACATAAAGCTATCCGTGTGTAAACACAGGCTTAGGAATATAAATACATATTTTGCCAAAAGTCTGACCCTATGACTTGTTCATAGTTGTAAAATAAGGGAGCCCTAGTACAAGTGAGGAAATTATTCTTTTTAGTGGTTTAATTGCCCTTTTAAATGATTTAACTGTGTAACAGTGTACACGTTCAGCAGCATGTTACGATTACATTTTGTAACAGCATACACGTTTGGCAATATATTTTGATTTAAATGACATTTTTATGTAGCAAACTAAAACACATCCCATGTATTTTAGTTTTCTACATAAATTACAGTGATATTGCCCGATTGTACAAGGACCATATCTGGAGAAAGTGGCAGGAACCATGCACAGAGTGCTGGAAGCCCGGGCATACTTGGGAAAGCATGGGCTTGGTGGGCTTCCAGTGCCCCATGCACCATCCCCACTGCCTTCTTCAGCTGCCAGCACACCCAGCCACCCTCCTTCCACCCTCCCGGGGCAGCTAGCCCATTCCCAGATGGTCCAACCAGCAGGAAGTTGGCAGAGATGGTGCATGAGGCGCTGGAAGCCCGTCAAGCCCGAGCTTCCCTGAGCATGCCTGGACTTCCAGCACCCTGTGCATCATTGGACCTGGCAGGTGCTGCCTGTAAGATGGGGCTGCACCCACACAGCTAGCACCCTGCCTGGGCAGCCCCAAGGGGCACTGCTGCCATGGAGGGAAGTACCAGGCCCCTCTGCAGCTCAGAGGCTGTGTGATCCAGCAGCAGTTCATGCAGGCAGGCTCTGCCAAGGGGGCAAAAAAAAAGAAGCGAGGGCCTGATCTGTTTTTAATTATTATTTCTGGAGCCTGCCTGTGTCTCCCGCAGCCAGGGAGTGAGCTCCCAGTGGGTTGCACAGCCCCTGCCAGTGTATCCCCCTGGGGGGGTGGCACCCCCCAGGCAGCACCCACCCGCTGGCACCCTACCCAGGCAGTCCCAGGGAGTGCTGCCATGGCAGAAGGAAGCACCAGGCCCCCCACAGCTCAGGGCCCACCAACAGCTTGCCCCCTGGCTGTAGGAAAGGTAGGGCAGGCTCTGGGGAAGAAAAAAAGGATTGAGCCCCTCACTACTTTTTTTTTCCTACAGCAGAGCCTGCCCGCTCCGTGACAGGGGGCCCCAGTACTTTATTCTAGCTCTGACTTTCCTGCATATTTGTTTGAAATGCCTCAGGATCTATAAGAATAACACACTTATTCTGTCTGTCCAGAGCACTGTCTGTCCGGAGCATTCTGATTGGAAGTTTCAGTAAGCATTGTGATTGGCTGCTGAGACAACCAATCAGAGTGCTCTGGACAGACAGAATAAGCCTATTATTATTATAGATGTGTCCTTGAATGAGCCAACTGTATATTGAAAGTGTTTGTGGGGCAATTACAAGCATTTGAACCAGCTGGTCATTCATGAGGACTAGGGGCAAAAAATAGAAAAATCCCAGAAGCAGGACTGCTCTCATGGCATTCCAAACCTCATCCAAACCCGGAAGATTATAAATTAGAAAGGTCATGAGAAAGCCCATCAAGAGTAAGTTTCATTCAATTTGCTGAATCAAAATTAACCAGCTTTAAAGAAATGTAGCCTTTTTTGAAGGATAAATTAGATCGTAGCATGAAAAGTCCAAAATGAATACGAAAAGAGAAAATAAAGAGAGCAAATTATTTGCCATCTACAAATGCTAGGGGCTTCTCATCCTCAATAGTACAATGTGGTCCACACTTCCTGTAGAAAGGAGTGAGTGTTCTTTTCCTGCTAAGTTATCTGATTCTCAAAGAGCTTGCTGGGTAGCATCTATAACACTACAAAAGTATACTTACTATGAAAGCATTCAATGAGAGGATATCAGATACTATCTATCTGCATCATAGGGATCATAGAAGTATACTGTTACAACCAAGAAGCCTCCATGGCAGTCACAATTCTCAATAAGATTAACATCCAGCTTTTTGTCAGATACCATCAGTGATCAAAAGCATAAACAATAAGGCTTTTTATGCAACGATTGCATTCTTTTACTTCTGTAAGTAGTATAATCAATTAGAAGGGACAGTAGCCATTAGAAGTTATCTTAATAGTGGATTAATTATTCAGAATTCTTTTCAAAATTATTTAAGTTTGGATCTCATATATAGCTATTTATTTTTAGGTTTCAGCTGTAATACAACATTTTCACCTTAAATATCTTCCCAAACCTTAGAGACCGTCCAGGTATCAGACTCTGCCTTTATATGTTTCATGTGGGAATCATTGAAAGTTAATATAGTTGTGGTTCAAGCGTGAAAAAGAAGACTTGAAAGCTTAAGTGATAGGAGTCTTTTTTATGTGATCTGCAAAACAAGGGATTTCTAATTGTTCTGAACTGGCAGGAATTTGGAAAACTTTTAAAAGTGAAATCACTTTTCTGTAATTAGTATTCATTAAGAAAAAAATCAAAGTTAAATCTTACTTTAAGAGAGAACAATTTTCAGCAAAAGAAATAATCTGTTGCATTCCCACTGCACGATCATGCAGCAAATATAATGTCTGCTTATTTTATATATAAAAAAGTCCTATTTTAAGTAAAGGTATCCTCATTATGGATCAGATTAATATTAGGCAGGTTGTGTTATCATTTGTTATATTAGCACTAAGTGCCAGCAGCATGTGACCTGTATTTATGCTGCAAGAATAACACTAGTTTTTGATGAGTTCACAAGTTGGGTTGATAATGGCAACTTTGGCTGACAGACTATAGTTAGGTTCCTGTAAGACATTTGACTTGCTTGACATCCTGATAAAAAATATTAGTCCACTGCAAAATCAATGAAGTCATGTTTAAGATTAAAATTCAGATTTCAACAGGAACTGTAAAAAAGTTAATCAGAATCAGAAAAGTAGGGCTGCAAGAGACCTCCAGAGGTCATCTAGTCCAGCCCCCTGTGTAAGGCAGGAACATTCCTATCCAAACCATCCTAAACAAATGCATAATATAAACTCTTCATAAAACTGCCATCAAACCTGAAACTACACAAGACATAACACCTTAACCTGTCACAGGTAAAGCAGGGAGAACACAGTGGCCAGTGTCCTGCTTCTATAAAAGTTGTTAATATATGCCCAAGGGATTCCAGGTAGAGTGTCACACCTCACACTACAGAGGAAGGAAAAAAACCCAACAGTCCATACCCATCTAATCATGATGTAAAATTCCTTCATGACCCCAAATATGGCAACTGGTCTGACCCTGAGCAGAGAGGCAAGACCCACTAAATAGGACCTTTAATTTCCAGCAGAAGACCAGCACACCCCACTAAGAATCCCCAGCCTTGGCTACTTCCAACTTATCATTCAATGAGGTACTTTTAGTGGCACCCCACAGGGATCACGTTTGATTTACCACTATGCAATACTTTTTCAATAATCTAATAATAATATAATCCAGGGGTGTCAAACACATTGCACATAGGCCAGATTCAGCCTGTGGAGCCTTATGATGTTGTATCCAGTGGGTCTCTGGACCAAACCCACATGCTGCATGGGGCATGCACCAGCCCTGGTCTGTGTGCTGCATCATGTGGGCTAAACGCAGCATGACATGCACCTGAGGGGTTTGGTATGGGATATGTGGTACATGGAAGACCAGCCCAACCAGCTCTGCATGCTGGCTTTGGGGCTGGCCCAAATCAGGCCATGCTGGAGCTAGAGCATAGGGCCAGTCTAATAGTATGCTGTACACAGCATACACCCTATGCTAACCTGCTCTGCTGCATGCAGCACAC